GGTGATTAAACCCAGAAGATTCACTCACTGTTGCTCCTGAACGCCTCCGACTGCGCTTTAACATTCTGGAGGTAGACGTCAAAATCCTCCCCAGAGGATCGTCTGAAACGAGCAGTGACGGAAATCAACACAAGGTAAGAGATATATTTTTTAAAAAACTAACATTTTCCTAAATAAAACCTCACTTTTACTCCAGCCTGCTTCAGAGAGACATGAAAGCCGATACAGCGCTCGGCTCTGCAGGCTCCTTTTATTATCAGTGCAAATTAGTTAAGCATTGGATTGAGAGACTGGATACGTTGTAGTGCTTTAATATCTGCTCTGCAGCCTCCACACTGCAGCAACAAACTGAGTGCCCCCATCATTAAATCAATATCTCCACTGAGAGCTTAAAAAAAGAGACAGCACAAGACTCTTTCCAGCCACATCACACATCTGATTCACACAAATGACTAAACAGCTGATTTGCCATTTGCTGGAATTTCTGGTGCATCTACTTTATTCTACCTACTAAAACCTACGCAGAACCTCATGACCGCAGCGTGGCCTCGGCCCAACAACCATCCCGTTGTCCGCTGAACTCCAGTAACTCACTTTCTTTGCTGGCTTTCACCGCCGGAGCCATCTGCTCTCCCCCGTGTCCTCTGGGCAGACAGCTGCTGACAAAAACACCACAGATCGAGGAAAAGTACAACCATCATATCTTCTTGGAAGAACACTTTTTTTTTTTTTTTTAAAAACACAACACCATTTCAACCACTTTTGTTGCTACTGAGAAAACATGTGAGCAGATATTTCTAAAACAGAAGCAGTGGAATGTGGCATGAGAAGCAGAAAAAGAGATGTCAGTCCCGGCAGTCGGAGATGTTTTTAGTCTTATTTTTATTATTTCACAGGTTTTTACTTGAAACAGTTAGAAAATTCCCGACTGTGGGGACTGACATGACTGTAAACGTCAGGCTTGAACAGGCTGTTTCCTCATTTCACTGCTTGTTCTTATGAATAAGGCACATTTCCAGTTTGCAAACGTAGCATCCTTTGCCTCCGAACCACAAAACGACTAACATGTGAGCATTAATAATTTGCAGCAACAATGCTACCAAGTGGTTTGTCAGGTTAGTGAAGCACTGAGACATACTGCAAATCCCCTGACTGCACAGAAAAGACAGGTTAATGAGGACAAAAACAAGGCCGAACAGAGAGGAACATCACTGTGCCCACTTTACAACACAGACGGCCGAGGACTTGAAATGCCGGGAAGCCTCTGCACAGGGCGGCGAGGTTAGAGGAGAAGCTGCTTTTAGCCGAGCAGTAAAGGTAAACTGGCAGAAGGGAGCGCTCAGTGCCGCCTCACCTCCTTCAATTTTCGTTCACGTGCCAGCCTGGCGGCCTCACGCTGGGCGGCATTTCTAGCCTCCTCTTCTAGCCTTAACTTCTCCTCTTGTGCCTCTAACTGAGCAGAAACAAAAAAAAATGAAACAAAACACAAAAACACAAGAACAGAAAAAATTACAAGAACAGAAAAAACAATGCAGCAAATTAAAACAAAAAAACAAGCCAAAAAACAGGTCTAAAGAACTGAAAATGAAATAATGAGGGGCTGTTAATCTAAACAAAAGAAGCTGTCTTACCTCAGCTTGTAGCTTTTGGTCGATGAGGATCTGCTTGTCGGAGATGGCGGCGTAGCGATGTTCTCTGAGGTGCTTGATCTCGTCTTCACTGATGGGCCTAATGAGAGAAAACATACTTCAGGGTTCTTTATGTCAGAGAACACTCCTGATTATTATTATTATTATTGTCTTGATTCGATCTCTTACCTGGGGCAGGGCTGCGGGCTCTCAGCCTGCAATGCAACAAACACCAGACAGTATTGAATTGCAGCGTGAAATGCATCTTCCCTGCTGCACCGTTTGACTCTTAAGCACTACTACTCCGGGACGATGCGGAAAATAATCGAGTTAGTCCCCGGGAGGAAAAACGGAGGACTGCCACATCGCAGTAATGGCTGCTCTGTAGGTTCACCCCATCGTTTGAGGACGACTACCAGGGGAAAGTCTGATTGCAGTCTATAAACTATCCCGGGAATACCGGCTTAATCCGGCGTTTAATTAGACTGTCCGTCCAATAAAAAGAAGACGCTCGGTCTGCTTAACAGATCTGACGGAGAACTCACTATTTTCTTTCTCTCAACTTACCTCATCGCTTTCCACCAGATTTTCAAACTGCAAAATTAAAAAAAAAAAAAAAAGACACAATCAGACGTGCAGCATTGACGAGTCATCGTTAAAGACGGGAAATAAATAATGCACGACTCTTACCTCTATTGTGTAATGCTCCCCTGTGGTACTGCTGCGGAAGTATTTAGACCTGCAGGAATAAATAAGGCAAAGTGAATATAAAACATGCAGTAATTTAGTAATGTGCTTCATATTTCACACTGACAGCTGCAAAGACGGCTTAAATACTGATTCCTACATGCTGTAATTTTACAGGAGGGAGTCGTACGATGATCACATTGCACAACACTGAAGTTAAGATAATTACATGCCAAGAGGAGAACATGTGAAGGTGCTAGTTAGGGCTTGTGAAGGTTGTTTGGCCTTTAAAATGTCAGAAAAATGGTGAGAAATGTCCATCAGTGTGTCCAAAAGCTGTGATTTAATCTACAACCCACAGATATTCAGTTTACTGAGAGAGAAATCAGAAAAAAATAAAATTTAAGAAGCTAGAATTAGAGAATTTAGACTTTCTTTGTTCTCAAGAATCACTCAAACTAATCGGTCAATCATCAGAATAGTTGGTGATTAATTTGATAATCGATAATCATATAATAATCAGAACATAACTGGTGAAGAAATACAACCAGATATTAGGGCATTGTGATCTAAATCTAGCTTCTGCACAGCATCTCCTTCTTATCCAGCATTATATTGATGCATTTGTTGGTGTATTTTGAACTTTTAGATGAAATCAATAATCAGTGTGCAGCGCCTGAATCAGTTTCTCATGGCAACAGTCAGAATTATACAAACTAAAGCAACTTATTTACAGCAGTGACTGTGACTTTCTGTCAGTTGTGTTCAGGTATGAAGGTTATCACTCCAGATAATCTCTATAACCAAACACTAGACGTCGTGGACTTGCTGTGACGCCCTCACGGGAAAATGTCGCCTTCATTTACAACTAATAGCAGAAGATATTTGTTCGTCTCTAAATTTAAACAAGAAAAATTCTGAGTCGCTTTCTACAGAATAAAAACACACGTTCTTTATTTGTTCAGATACGATAATGGTGATACCTGAAACTGAGACGACTACAGAGAACGTGTAATTTATCAAACCTCTCGACTGTCTGCTGGTGCTGACCGATGAATTGTATTTTCACGATCGTCGCTAAAGACAAACTGAAACGCAATGAATAAGAGAAGCATTGTATTTAGATGTGACGTGTTGACGCTCAGCAGGCAGCTTGGAGTTAATTTGGTAACTGAGGTTAGATAACACTGAGGAAGGAGAAAAACAGCGAGGACAATGTCAAGAGATGTTTTTGCTGAGTTTAGGAGAAAATACTGCATAAGGAGCCACAAGGGAAATTACAGTTTTATTTCTTATAGTTAAAAAGCCTTATATAAATCCAAGTCCAGTTTAATTTGTTGGGCATTCACGTGGAGGTTCTTTAAAGCAGTATTAAAGCAGGAAACGTGCAATTAAAATAAATTATTACACACCACAGATAACATCATTCAGGGCTACTGTCTATAATAAAAGAAGGTTGGTTTTAGCTGTAAGCCCACAAACGTCCTTCTTCCTGACGCATTACGCTGACAAGAGACACTACGCAACATAAAATACACTAAAACAGTAATCTGATGTAAATGTAATAACGCATTTTGTGCCTTGATTCTCAAAACTAAATAGGTACATTAGGCAAAACACCATCGTTCAGACACTATTCATCTTCTGACTTGTAGCTGGACCTGCAACAGGTGATCAACTATCAAATTAAACACCAACTATTTTCAGAATTGATTAATCAATTTGGCTGCTAGGTTTAAATTCTAAATTCTAGAATTAAATTTGAATATGTTTGGTTTCCTTCCTCCTCTGTGACGGTAAGTTGAATATCTTTGGGTTGTGGACATTAAAAAAAGACGCTTCAAGACATCATCTTGTGCTTTGGAAAACAAAGATCAACTTTTTTCACAATTTAATAAAACCTCAAAACCTAATCATTCATCGAGGGAATAATTCAGCAGATTCTTCAACATTGAAAATCACTTAGGCCGACCAAACGTCCTGTTTTCCTGTCCTGTCCTGTCCGTCCTGGTTGTTTTTTATAAAGTGATGTAAATGTCCTGGTTGTCATTGTTTTTTCCATTGAGCCACTAAATTGAATTCTATTTGTACGATACAACTTCGAGACACTTCTTGCAAAGACTTTCATGCTTATTTGTCAAGCAACTAAAAAATGATGGGAAAGATCAGCTCGACAGCAAAATAATGATGATGGGCAGACAGCGAGGATGACGAGGAAAACCAGGATGAAAAAGAAAGCTAAGGATATAGATAGTTTTGTTAGTTTTTGTAAGTTTGTGAGAGCTATTTCTGATAAAGTTGGCTTGCCAATGTCGCAGAGGTATTTGTAAATTTTTTCTAATACAGAGGAGACATTACTTCGATCATTATTTCATTCGTTATTTTTGAAACTTGTCATAATAAAACATGTTGAGTCACCTCTGGGACGCCTGTCTGAACTTGTGTCTTTGGTTATGGATAGCATTTAGCCATTTACTATCCATACAGAAGGGGCATACTTTGAATTTATTGAGGCATCTTTGAGTGAACTTCATTCGAGTATCTCATTGCCGGACCGAGTGTCCTGATCTTCACTGATCAAAATATGGTCATCCTAAAATAATCGTGAGTATCAGCCCTGCTGAAGACATGTGAGAAAAGCCCAAGTGTAACTAACAGTAAAGATGGTTCACTTCCATATAAGTGGCCCATTAACTGATGCCGGTACCAGAACCCTGAACCAGGCCGCCTTTAATCAAATGAGCCCATTTACATGATTGATCCCTGCTGTGATGTGTCAAACGTCTCATCAGGCCTTTTCGCTCATTATGTCCTCGATTAATGTTGACGCAGGATGTCTGAACCGCCGGCTGACTTAAAAATAATGCACATTTTTATGACTCCAGGCAAAGTGGAAGCATTAGTAATGAAGTTTCCCAGACTAATAGATAGTAACTACTATTACTGCAGCGTTATAAGGAGTTATGAGCTCTGATGTGGAAACATGGCAGCAGGTGGATGGAGCAGAGGAGCCTTGTGTTGTCTTAACAAAGCAGATAAAAACATCAATTATTAATGTTGAATTTGCTGAAAGAAGAGTGTGAAACTAAGGCAAGACACTGACTATTTACACTTATAAATAGGTTAAAGATGTCAGAGGATAATGAGTGTTTTAAAGCTGTAGCTCAGTGTGTTTTGTTGCTATAATTTAATGAGCTAAACTCATGTCCAGGCTGTTGACAATAGGGGTGGGGTCTTGGTTCCTAGCTCCCCCCCTCCGTACAGACAACACCACAGCGGCTAACTGCCCTCTTGCCCCCCCTCCTGCTGCCCAATCACCCCCAGACCAACACACAGCCCAGTTCACAGGTGTCGGTTACCGGCTACACAAACTGTTCGCAGCCGTTCGCGGTAATCGGATCCGCTGCTGTGACATGATGATGCTAGCTAACGCGGCTAACGCTACGTCCCAACTCACCCGCCGCCTCTCTGGATCCTGCTGGCTTCCCTCCTGAAGAGCCCCACACAGTAAGCCCAGCAGTTACCCATCGCATTGTCAAATGCCGCTGTTAGCTGTTGGCTAGCCCAGCCGGTAAACTCCTGCCAGCTGCTGGTGCTTCCGTGGAGGCAGCTACATCTTCCAGTCAGTCCTGCCTCAGACACTTCCTCATCCTGCTGCTTCCTCTACGGTGACCACAGCAGCGCAAACACGGTGGAGAAAATGGAACACCGCCCCCTGCTGTCCGCGTCCTGACACAACAGCAGTGAGTAAAGGTTTGTATGTGCTTTTTAACCCTCCTATTACCTTCAAATTTACTGACATCTTTTATCCTTGGGTTCAGTTTGACCCCAGCAATTTAAAACCTCCAGGAAATATCATAAACAAAATTTTTACCAGCGTTTTTGTGTAAATAGCCCTTTAAATACAACTGAAAAAATTATGTCAATGACTTATTTAGAGATCCGTAGGTGTGAATGTGAGTGTGCTTGGCTGTCTGTCTCTAAGTGTGGCCTTGCGATAGACTGGTGACCTGTCCAGGTGTCCCCTGCCTTCACCCTGAGTCAGCTGGGATAGACTCCAGCTGACCCTAGTGAGGATTATGTATAGATGATGGATGGACTTATTTAGAGATGTTAAACATTTGATGGGGTCAAATTGACCCCAAAGATAATAGGAGGGTTAAAGACAATGTACATCATGACAGTTTTAGGTTTCTGACAACTCCCATAAATATGAATTTTCCAAGATGGAATCACTAAAACATCATCAATAAACAATGACAGTGGGTTCTTGGTCATTTCTTTACCACCTTTGATGTGTGTTTGGAGTCATTGTCTTCTTGGAACACCCAACTACATCCAACCTTTTGGCTGATTAGCTCAGATTTTCCGAAAGAATATTGCTTCATGATTCCATTTTCTTTGGGTAAAGCTCCAGATCCACTGACAACAAAACAGGCATAATACTGCCACCACCATGCTTGGTGGTAGGTTTGGTGTTCTAGGGGTTAAAGGCGTCACCTTCTCTCCTCCAAACACACAGTCATGAGCAAAAGTTTTCTGACACTCGTAAAGATCCTGTATATCATAGCAGTCTTGAGTTTCCAATGTCTCCAATAACTCTAACTTTTCTATGATCGAAAGTGTCTTTGTCACAAAACACAAAACAAAACAATCATGCATTTTGGTTTCTTTCATAGATTTATTATAGGCCTTTCTGAAATATGACAAAATCTGCTCAATCAGAAATACACATACAGCAATGATCACATTTGGTGAAAACAGCCCCAGAGCATGATGCTGCCACCACCGTGCTTGGTGGTAGGTTTGGTGTTCTCGGGGTTAAAGGCCTCACCTTCTCTCATCAGAATGTATTTCTGCTCATTGTGATCAAATGCTTCTATTTTTCTTTCATCTGATCACATAACTTTTCCCCAGAAGGCCTTTTCTCCGTCTATGTGATCAGCAGCAAACTCCAGTAGAACCTTGAGGGTGCCAACCAAAGAGAAAGGGCTTCCCTCTCGTCTCCTTTTATTTACTCTGTGTCTTCTTCTCCAAACAGGTATTCATGCAGCTCGTCCTCAGCAGGGACGTTATCCACGTTGCTCACTTTGACTTTCTGGGCAACCGGCATGCATCTGGGCATGAGCTTCCTCCCACTCTGAAAGAAAAAAGGGAAAAGGTGTGCAATGTATAAAAGATCATGTATTAAAAACAAAGGTAGTTTTTGTTTTTTATGATTGCTTTTAATGTCAACAGATTTCATCCCTTAGCACTAGAGGCCACAGTGAAGTGAAGACAAGCCACTGTTTATACATCACAATAAGACTGGCGTTACTAAATTATGACGTAAACATACAAGAGTAATTTAATCATAGTAGTTAAAACCCTACAGTACAATATGAGACACACATTTAGCAGACTAAATAAAACATACAGTACAAAATTATACAGACAACCCAACAAATGTCCTTTGAGCAAGCGTATTGGTGACAGAGGAAACAAAAAGCTCCATTTTAATGCAGGATGGCATCCACATGATTATAGTAATAATTTACTGGTATTAAATTCACATGTTTGCTGGAGGTGAAACAAGATTCAAAAGACTTACTATTTTCTTGGAGTCAGCCAGGGATCTTTCCAAATACCTCCTCATCCTCTCTTTTTGTTTCTCTTGCTGCTCTCTCAGCTTTTCTTCACGCTGCCTGCAACATGATGGAGAGGTTTTCACATGACATTATATTATATTCTCCTTATGCTTGTGTGCTCTGACTTCCTCCCACAATCCAAAGACATGCATGGTAGGTTAATTAGAGATTGTAAATTGGCAGATATGAGTGTCGGTCTGCACAGTTGTTTGTCTCTTTGTGTTATCCTTGTGATGGACTGACGAGCTCCGGTACACACTCCATCCCCCCATTGGTCCTCTATAGATACAGCAGTGAAAGCTGATGAATGGATGGATTCTCCTGTATTTTTTATAACGTTTAGCTATAACATACTGAGGGAGAGAAACCTCCTGGTGTGCATTCCAGGAGGTACGGTACGTTATTGCCGTTACCTTGAGAAGAGGCTCGGTTTGCTCCTTGATTGATCCTTTCTCTCACATGTGTCACTGAGACGTACCTGCTCCTCCTCTCGCTGTCCTTGATCTTCTTCATCAGCTCCAGTTTTTCTTCAGGGATGCTCTCAAGGTCCTGCAGCAGGAAAGAAATGTGGTGCTCGATGCTGGCCAGTTTCTCCAAAGTGCTGAGGTTGGTCATCCTGTCATCCACGCAGCTGCGATGCACCTCCGCCACCTTCTCACCGAGAGCGGCCAACATCATGTCCTGTAAGCAGCAGAAACACAGTCGGATAGGTAGCATTAGCACGCTGTAGATACTCTGAGCAGCTTCCAAAGAGGTGATCCTAAGTTAAAAAAAGTGGTCAAACACACTCATTCTGTTTCCTTACTTGGTCTTCTGTGCTCAGTGACACATGGAGTTGAACCTTCTGTTCGAGTTTGGCGCCTCTCGCCTTCTCTTTGTCGATTCTCTGGTTGATGTCATTTATCTGCAGCGCTATCTGCTTTTCATCCTTTTCACTTGAGACACAGAGGAATCAGCATTGCATGGATGTGATGAAGCACAAGCACAAACAAAGCTGGTGGACAAATGTAAAAACACCAAATCATTTACTCGCAGACCCTCAACACTTTGTGTCTTACATTTTCTTCCTGGTTGTCTCCATGGACTGCTCCAGCTCCTCCAGTTTCTCCTCCACCCGTGCAGAGTTCTGAATCAGGGACAGGTTCTGCTCTGTCAGCTCTGTCATCAGATCCAGTAGCTGCTGGGGATCAGTGAAGTACAGCTCTGGCTCATCCTGGAAAGAGGTGACACGACAAGGAAGGTCACTGTGAGTATTACAGATCATACTCAAAATAAAAGGACGTGAGATTTACAGTTAAGGAGAACTGACCTCATAGTCTGAGCCGTCGCTGTCCACTTTACAGTTTGTGGCTCTGAAAGACAAAGTTTTAGACTCATGAGAGAGGTTTTGCAGCAGCGTCGAATAAAAGTATTCTGGATGAATCTATGACCAACAAAAGCAGGATTTCAAAGGAATCTTCTACAAGATGTTTGAGAATTATACCAGCCTGCTGTGTGCCGCAGAGCAAAAGTATATTGAAATTGCAGTGCTGTTATGTCAATGAATAGCCCTGTTTCTGTTTTTGTTCAAGGCGTGGTTGATGATCACTTGAAGTTACCACCTGGACTCTGCCACAAGAGGGAGTTGCTCATAAGAAACTATCCATCAGGTCGCCACATTTTTTCATCCAACATGTTATTTTCTTTCTCATAATTGTGTACAATCCAATTTTCTTATCATAAACAATAAGGTCACTCACTGTTCAGATCTTACGATTTGTTTTTTTTGTTAAAGACAGAATAATTTGTTACACCACCCACTTTTGTCATTTCTTTATCTAAATGTCTGAGTGATTTACTTTATGTTAGCAAAGCAAAACTAAAATTTGAAAAACATGCATGTGGTATTATAGGACTGGTGTAGCCGGACATTTCACTGCTTATGATCATCAAGCTTTATGACCTTTGCATTATGGACCATGCGGTAGTTCCAGTTTCAGAGATTTCTCTTTGTGCTGCTTTGTGTAACATGATTTATGTCAAGTGAGGTTTGTGTTGTTGTTGTAAACCCCTTTTTGGTACGGTTGATATCCAGAATACGCTTGGTTGCACTTATTTAGTTCTGTTGTATCTTGCTGATCTCAATGTGTTCTGACCTTTTGGTCCCCTAAATGCACCTTCTAGGGACGGGTGCTGCAGATGAGCACATAAACACTATGGTACTTGCATTGCGTAGCTGTTTTCACACTGCATCTATCAAATAAAGCATAAAGTAATAAATAAATAGCACGTGTAGCTCGCCACGCTTCATTGTACTGCTGTTGTCAGCCGCTTTTCACTGAGGACGGGCGACTGCCAAAACCATCAGTGCATGAAATAACTATAAATGGAAAGCTATCCCACTTTCAATTTTCATTGTTGCCGCAGAGAATTCAGCACCAGGCTCTACAAACTACATACAACGTGACCACACGGGCTTTGAATAGTCAAAACGACTTTTGGAGGGTATTGTTTTGCGTGTGCTTATTCGTCTCTTCTGCTGAACAAATACTGGAAAACATCGATCATGTTTATCACCACTTAAAAATATATGAATCTACAAAACAAGCACTGGATTCGCACCAAAACAAAAGCATGTTGTGAGTGAAGTGAGCGTGTTGTTGCTCGTACTGGGTGTCGCTGTGGCCTGAGGTCGGTCTGGTCTCTCTGATGGAGGGCAGCTCTCGACCAGGACTGGACACTTTGCTCTCCAAACCTGTTGGTAAATCAGATTAGATTAGAGTACCACCATGCTAGTCTTTATGTTGTATTTCATGTGGATTTACTTGCCGTTTTCATTAGCCGTCTCTCCAGGCTCCCGGTTCTGGTCGGGCTGTGCGTCTTTGCCAGACAGGACTTTAGCTTTCTTGGTCTTCTGGGCCTCCTGCCACTCTGGAGGAGACAGCTTGTATAGAAGCTCCTTGTACTGTTTGTAATCTATCAGGATTTCTTCAAACTTGGCAATTTCACTACGAAAAGAACAGATTTAAATCCCCCAGTTATAACACAGTTCCTTCAAATGTATTCACTTATATTTGTAGCTCCTCTCAGAGCATCTGTTGGGTATAATATGGGCAATATGCACTTATACGTTTAAATTTAATCACAATTATTTGAATACTACCTTTTAATTGTCCCTATTTCAGCAGTTATCTTCTTGATTTCAGTATTTCTCTCCTGTTTTAACTTGGCCTCCCGCTCAAAACTGACAACAGAGACAACAAAACCATTTGCAGCCTTTTAAACATCATACAAAATGTCTCTTTGTTCAGGCAAAAACAACTTTTTATCCAAACAAATATTTGTACTGAAAACATCAAGCTGCTATTTTCTATCCAGCTACTTCTTACACGGTTCTGGCCTCCACAGACTTCTTCTCGTTCTCCCTGAGGAACCCTTCGAAGTTGAGGTTGTCTCGCTCAATCATCTTTTCAAGCTGCTTCAGCTGTCGCTCCTCTTTTGCGATGGCCTTGTCCATCTTCAAGATCTCAGACCTCTTAGTCATCAGAGATAACTGAGGAGAGGAAGATGAGAGGAAGTGGAGCAACGTAGGTAATAAAGGAGGAGAAGACATGTATTATTTATATCTATTTTAACGTCTTTTTAAAAATCTGTTGCTGACTTGTTTCGCTCTTGACTTATTTAGCACCTCAGAGGTCATAAATCCTCACTAAATATTTTAGTGTTCCTAAACAAAAACAGAGATGGATCATTACTTATAGTGGTATTTATCTGTCAATTCTAAGTCATGGGCAACATTAGAGCAAATCATACACATGTGGGTGTTCACCAGGCAAAGAGGTGGATGTGGGATCTGATGATGTAAAGGACAAAATGTTTTAATATGTAATATTTGAACCTCTTCTGCATCAGTTTTAACTTTTAAATTATTTTTGCTTTAATCCATCTCAGGTTTATGGAGTTTCAGTGCATCACAGGAAAGAAAGGAGTCTGTTCCAGTCAGCAAACATGATTAGAAATAATCGAGAAGCTATAAAATATCACCAAACCAAAATCGATGCTGTGTGGGTTTTGCCACAAAGAGCTTTTATCGACGTGTTTCAGATCAACAGCTGACTTCAGCTGATGGTTGTGGTTCAGTTAAAACTCGTGACATCATTTACCTCCAACACGGCCTTCTGTCGTTCCATTGAGATTAAGTCATATTTGCTGTCTTTTGCAATGTTTTCTGGGAAACAGAGTGCAGACATCGGTTAATACACACACATAGGTTTTTCATAAAGCTAAAAGCAGCACCTCTATATGCTTCTCTACTCCACTTACCTCGTTTCATCCTCAGCTCATGTCGGCCTGATGTTTGTTTAGGGAGAACTGTCTTACTCCTGATTTGTTTTAGATCCTTCATCTGCTCATTTTCCTCCTCCTCCTCGTCCTCCTCCACTTCTCCCACCAGCTCATTCTTCAGCTTGGCCATCATTCTCGCAGCGTGGGTCGTCTTCTCATCAATTGGCAGAGCCAGAAATTTACGTCTCTCCTGAGCATCGATGCGAACAGCAGCATGACTTTTACAAAGCAAAGATCCATTTTTCACATTCTGCAAACGAGTATAATGCAGCGGACAGAAAACCTTTGTGCTCAGACACACACACCGACCTCTTTTTGGTCCTCTCTTTCGTTTACACTCAGTAGAAAAATGCTGTTACTGTCTGGCACTTTAAACGGGCTCTGATGTGTCCTCCTCCTCCTCGTCCCTACACACAGTGGAATGAAGACAAAAACTGTGCATATAGTTTTCTGTAGGTTTCATGATTTCCGCTTTATGGTCTTCAGATCTGTCATGTTGCCTACTGTACCTGTTTTTTGCGATTTGGCTAAATGATCAGTCTGTGACGCAGAAGAGCCTGAAGAATTCTCTGTTCCTTCTGTTGAAAGCATCTTGTTAATTTTGGCACAAATGAATCACTGACTGTACTTACGTTGTGACGTACAAAACATGGCGTTATAACAGAAACCTACTGGGCTGTGGTGACAACATCTCTGAGGCACTTCTGGCATCTGGAGCTGCACGAGTTAAGCATTTAATGTGGAAGCAGGTTTGAAAAAGAACACAGTGTCATTCATATTTATCAACATTTAACACCTTAAATGCTGGACTGAAGTGCTCTGTTAGAGGTGTCCTGACTGCTCCCACCTGCAAGTCAGTGACGACAAGTGACTGAATCACTGATGTCAAGTCCTTTCCTAAGACGTAACACATAACTTAGAAACTTCTTAATATCTTGTTTAATATGTATTTATTATCATTAATGGCTCTGCACATCTGAACTTGTGTTTTTATGCCACTACGACTCGCGTTGGGTAAAAATATGCAATAATTTCTGAGATTTGGTGTTACAAGAACGATTATAAAGATCATCAGTTCATCCCAGTCATGCATATGTGAAAACACCTGCCTGTAATATTATAGCCTTGTTTGTGTGCAAAGCTGTTTTCATCTTGTAACCTTAGTTATTGTGTACACACATCACATTCTAGGGTTATTTTAAGTTTGACCATGCTGATTAATGTTGCTTATCAAGTTATGCATTATTATTTCTTGACTTTGAGTTGAGTTTATTTTATAATTAATTATTTCATAATCAGTTGCCGCACTTGTATATGTTTTATACATATATTTACATGTGTAACATTTGAAGAACATATTTACAACCCACTTGGCTGAGAGTAGTAGAGAGAGCTTTGGTTCCTACCTGCTGTTGTTTCTGCTGGGACCAATGAGAGTGAAACATGTGCTGCAGAAGTGAAGGTAAAGTTCTGCCATGCTGGTATTGATTGACAGGGTTAGCAGGGTTACAGTCTCAACCATTGAAATGTTAAACCTTTGAGATTCTGTGTTGTACTGGAACCTGGGTTCAAACTCTGTTGTTGATCATAGACTGTTTATGTTTTTTTAAATTTTTTTTAGTGTGCTTATATGAGTGAAATCCCCACGGGAAGATATCACCAACACATACCAAACAGTGGGGCCAACACAGCCTTTTTGTTTGTTTGTTTGTTTTGCATCCAAGTGGATTTTAATGCGGCCATTTTGGCTTTTTGACGCCAGAAATAATAAGCTAGTGCAACGTTAGCCTGGTTACCTGTAGGCTAGCTTTAATGAGCTACATTAGCATATTTTTTTTCTTCTAAATTAAAGTTTGTCATTTGGCACACTCATTCTGTTTTCGGACTAGTTAAGAGAATTAAACTGTTTTGGACGAATACTTTCAAAGGTGTTTCTGATAAAACGTGCAATTGACATAAACTAGCTGACTAGCTAATTCCCCCCGACAGGAAGTTAAACTGTTAGCTTGCCAAGCTAGCAGCGACAAATTAGCGTAAGTTTGTCTGTTGTTATACAAGCGGAATGTCGCTGCTGTACAGGTTCGCATGAAGAAAACGCTTCTTCAGTTTATTGTTCATAAGGAGCTCAACCTGTCGTCTGATAATGCGGCACAAACACACAACAACCAGAGAAAAAACCACACACACCTGCTTCGATCTTTGAGGCGCACCACTGCTGGGTTTGTGTACTGTTGTCACGGTAACGGCTGCCTTCACGGTCACCTTGTTTTTTCGGTCTTCGCTTACAAATATGCTTATAATCGACTTAATGAATTGTGTTCTTTACTTTTTTTTGTTTTGTTTTTTGTTTGCTTCATGTTATCCTTGAACTGTGCGTTATCCTATTTATATATTTAATAATTATACGAATAATTACTTAATATAGACATAAAACATGCGCATATTTCCAGATTCTGTAAATGTAACTCACTGCCACACACTTTGCAGCTTCTTCTCATTGCTCCTTGTATTTCTATTGCATGTTTACATATAACTGCACCTTGTAGGAACTTTTTTCACTACTTTAAGCCGCCATATCTTTGCACAGGTGCCATATTCAGAAGTGCAACATCAGCTACACTACTTTTTTTTGTAATAAAGGGATTTTTTTCTTAAATAGAGATTCCTTGTGATTATATATTTTATTGCCAGCACACACAGCTACAGAATGAGGTATTCCAACCTGCTGCTCAGTTCTGTGGGTCGCATTTATTCTCCACTAGATGGCATAATTTGATCACATAATCTGTCTAAAGCAAAACTCCATCTAATGTCCTGCCTGTAATGAATTCTTAAGAAGAAGCCAGATTTCAAGATTTAATGCAAAATGTCTGCAGAAGGACATGTTTGTGTTAGCAAGTAGGAATTTGTGTCAGCGATCATTTCTTCTTAAGTTAAGTTGATTTGCCAGCACTTCTTTTAGTTGACCGCGTGTGCCAGTGAATATACTTAGAACCTGATACTGTACGTTCCCTCCCACGCATCCACACATGACCCTGCACATCTCAGCTCAGCGAAGCAGCCCACACACTACACTTGCTTGTAGGAAATCCCAGTGTCAGATTGTCGGGTTAAAGTAATGCAAACACATGGGGGAGTGTTGGCTCGAACAACAGAAAAAAAAAGGGCACGTTGTGTAAGAAAAGAGGAACCGTGTTTTATTCAGATTTGGAGGTAGCAGAGATGGTGAGGAAACCTGAAGTGAGGACAAGTTTCTACATTTCCAGCTCCTTCTTCGCCAAATTCACGACAAAACTCTCCAATTTGACTCAAACGACGCCTTCAAACGCTCTCATTATGGTGCAGGAGTTGTTTTCTAAACATGAACCCTGCTTTGCGTTGTTAGATAACGCTGATGAAGACGCCGTAAAAACGCAACTGGGTTCTTATATAGCCTTGCATCAGTTGTTTGAGCATTACAGATTGCTTCTACCTCCTCTGCTTAAGCAGTCCAAAGACGGTGGATATCTGATATTATATAAGAGGTGAGCATTCAGGCCTCTGTGCGTGATCAGAGCTTTTCTTTTAAACACATTTATGCTGCCACCTTCAATTAACCCTCCCAAATAAACATGTTTAAGAACGTTGAGATAAATTATTGCAAAGAGAAAAGGAACCCATTACTTGAGCCACATATTCATGCCAAAGAACAAATGAAATGGACGGGTCCTTAAAAGCTCTCCCTCAGGTTTTTGCAGTAAGTAGAAAAGCAGCGCTGCCGTCCTGTCATGAAACAAACATCAGAGCGGAGCTGGAGCTGCCTCGCTGTCAGGTCCATACGACTGTACTGCAGGGCTTCAAAGTGAGCCACAACTTTATGAAGTGTGGCTCTTTCACGTCCCTGCCAAAGCTTTATCTCATATCAGATCTCACAGACGGTCATTTTGTTCCTCAAACAATCAATAATCAATACTTGCAAACCTTCTGGTCGCACCGAGCACAAATAATAAATCAAAGTTTGTTATTAATAGATGAGCTTTGTGGTTTAAAAAACGGCATCTTAAATAATTAATCGCAGTTAAACATTGATTGCTTTCTGATAAGGATTTAGCATTAAATGATTATTAAGTGAAACCACTCAGGATGTTGAGCACAAAGGTTCATTCTTGTCCTCTGGAACAAATCCTGAATCTAAGCTCAGTGAATGGAACATTACTCGATTTACTTTGTTCACATGATGCACGATGGGCCGTCTGTTATCATGTAAATTATCAGCCAGTTATGACAACTATGACTGAATTTCTGGACTCAACTGTTTCGTGAAATTGTGTATTCTTGTTTTTAGTCAAACCAAAAGATCATTTTTGCTGGAAAAAGTATCCAGATCCTTTTACCAAAGTGAAATTACAGTGAAGTAAAAATGCTGCATGAAAACAAAAATCACACTTAAGGGAAGTGACTTAGCAAAATATAGTTAAAGTATCAGAGTACAACATCTGGTTTGGTCCCTCTGACGGATATATTTTAATGTATGACTCTATATTATCATCACAGTGAAGCATCAGTGTGTCAGCAGCAGGTTTGAACTACTTCATATCCAGTTTTATTCACAGAGGCAGCAGATAAATCTGACAAACATGATTGACGAGAGAAAACCAACAGCTCTGATCCACAAATCTGTCTTCAGTTTTTCCTCTAATCTTTCATTTTTGTTGAGATTTTGCATCATTGGAACAATAAGTTTAAGCTGAGAAGGAAAAATCTGTACTCGATGGAGCTGCACACTGTTTTTTTTTTTTTTTTTGTGGCACACGTCAGAAAGATTACAAAACGCTAATCTTTAACAATGTGTCGTATTTTAAAAGCCTGTTATATTATCCTTTGTGTAAAACACTCATCCTAAAAGTAACTAAAGCTGTCAGATGAATGTAGTGGACGAGAAAGTAGAATATAATAAAGCAAGCTACTATAAATAACTCTGAATTGCAGGTGTATTTAGTTACTTCCACCACAGCTGCACACAGAGACGATAATATCTGATAACCTTAACCAGCATAAAGAGGTTACATACAGTACATGAATAAGACAACAGTCTGTAAGTTGACAGAGAAACTCTTTCCTTCTTACAGTACTGAAGGTATCAGAGGTTTTTTTTGTTTAGTTTTGCTTTTTCTCACTGGCGTCCGAACAGTTTTTAAGTGAAGTTTGATGCTGTGATCTTTGCCAAACTGTACACGGAGAAAAACTGACAGCTCGAAGTGAGTTATGGCGTGTTGACTTCTATTATGTCAGTGCCACTTGATTTTAATGAGTTTCCATTTCCACTGAGCACACTTGAGCAAAAGCTGCAGGCAGGCATATTTTTATTTATTTATTTTTTTTCATTTCAAGGCTTCGCTGAGCCTCCACCAGGTCATTCTGTTGTGCTCGGTAGTTTTTTTTTCTTTCTTTTTTTGCAGCAGCAGCTGAAGGAATTTTCTCTGAGTCGGTGAGAAAGAAAAGGTCTGTTTGGACTCTGTGTGGTTTTTGTGATTCGCTAAAAGTGGAGTATCTGATTCTAATCCTAGACGCTTTTTGTCAAATTCAGTAAAGATCTCCTCACAGTCCGCGAGCTGTCTGTTGTGTATGAGCGTTGAAAGAAAACCCAGAGTTGGCTCACAGCTCTGGCTCTG